GCATTTAGTTTGTTGCAATACTCTGATTTGGTTGAAATATATGAAGAAAACCCAGCCTTACACAGATAGTACAATTGGAAAAATAAATATTTTACTAGCTTTGCCAGGTAACTGTAGATATTATCTGATATAACCACAACTGGACAAGCGGTAGATTCTCAAAGATTAGTTTCAATGAGGAATCTGAAATCATGTCAATAGACTTTCCATATTCTTTTAAAATCCATTGATCTATCTTGCAACTAGTCCTGTTAAATTATGTAAGGATAGGAATAAATTTTACTAAATGCTTATACTTTGATCAACACTGTCCAATTAGATTATGAAATTGAAGATACTGGCAAAGATGAAAACAAGATATTAATCTACAATAAAACAGAAATTAGAGATAGTAAACAAAGTATGTATATTAGTGAAGAGGGGAAAATTGATAAAACAACATAATATAAAAATAAAATTAAGGCAGGAAAGAAAAGCAGACATTAAATTTTTCTTTTATAAGCAAGCTTCCCTAAGTCTTTCCCCCTCCCATGAAACTGTATCCTGCTTTGCAAGTTTTATAAGTTTATAAATTATTGTATTTTTGTTCTCTGTAGATGATAACTGTAATTTTCTGTAACACAGTGAAGGTCATAAGAAGTACCCAAGAAGGCAGGACTCCAGCTTTCTGGGCACTGTAGCAGAAGGCAATAGATAAGGCCCATGCTAAAATCCTTGAGCTCTGCAGATAGTGAAAATCTGGGTCACACAGCAACATTCATATGTAAGCCTAAGTTAGGTGCCTATCATTGCTTAATAAATTGCTTTTGTTCTACACCTGCAAACTTGTTTTAGCGCCATTGTGTACTTCATGTATAAAAAGTCAAGCCCTGTCTTTGTTAAGGGCTCAGCCATTTTGGATCAAAATCCAAGCTGGGCCAGTGTACACCTAAAATAAACTCCTTCTGCAACCTCACTGGTTTCTCCAGTCTCTAAAATTCTGCAACTTTAGAATGAGAATGTGCAGAAGATCTTGGATATATTACAAGAGGTGGGAAGCAGTCTGAGATAGTTTAATGGATTTCATTGTTCCTTTACAAGAGATATGCTTAAGTCCTAAACCTGGCACCTGTGATTGTGACCTTATTTGGAAATATATTCTACAAAAATGGAATTTAATTCAAATGAAGTCATACTAGTATAAAATAGGCCCCAAATCCATTAAGACTGGCATCCTTATAAGAAGAGGAAAATGCCATACGGAGAGTGACACACAGGGAGAACACCACGTGAGAAGGAGAGACTGGAGTTACGCAGCTGCAAGCCAAAAAATGCAAAGGATTCATGGCCACCACCAAAAGGCAAGGACGAATTTTACCCATAGTCTTAGAGGTACCAGGACCCAGTTAACACTCTAATTTCTGACTTTTGGTCTCCAGAACAGTAATAGAACAAACTTCTTTCGTTTTAAGCCACCCAGCTCGTGGTATTTTGTTAGGCATCCCAAGGAAACAAATAGAGATGGAGCAGTAGAATGTATTATGTTTCTAATAACTCAGTCACCTCCTTTTTATAAAATGAACCCTACCTCACCTCCTATTGCCATTTGGCTTTTCGCACCTATGGGAATGAATACATCTCATTGCTCCACTGCAGCTGAGTCTGATCACATGATTTGCTCTGGCTAACAGATTGGGAATGGAAGTGATGTACATCATATACTAGTAAAAGTTTTAAGAACCACTGGGTATTTCTGTTAGGTCTCTTTTCTTCTGCCAGGAGAATGGAAGCTTCCAGGGAGGGATCAGTCCTTTATCCAATGTATAGCAGAGATACAGCCAGCTCACATGCCACATTAGCATTATTGAAATCATTATTGAGAGATTTGTAGTGGTTTCTTACTGCAACGAAACCTAGCAAAGCTAAAGTCTCAAGTCAATTCAGACAAAAGGATTTCTTCTCCATCAAAGCTGGCGTTTTTGTTAGCAGATTGACATCGTAATCATTAAAATAATTCTATCTATGAAGGGTGTTCTAAACATTGGCATTTAAAGTCTCTTTTCACGATGTCCTGGTACTCAATTGCATATTGCAAATTAGCTGTATTTTTACTGTATACAATTTCAATAATACTAACCTAGCTTACAGTTCTATTAAATCTATTTATTTCCTATGTTACTGGTATAATGTTCTGATTCTATTTCTTACACAAATAAAGCCAAGATAGTGTTACTTCTCTTAGCTGTGGGTTGGAGATGGTGTGCACAGAGGTAACAACTGGAAGTTATGAGAAGACCTCAGGATAGCTATGTGATTTCACAGGCATATGACAGTGGTCACGTTTTCTAACCTTTTTTTTTTTTTTTTTTTTTTTTTTTTTTTTCTTTTTTTTGAGATGGCGTCTCACTCTGTCACCCAGGCTGGCGTGCAGTGATACAATCTTGGCTCACTGCAACCTCTGCCTCCCAGGTTCCAGCATTTCTTTTGCTTCAGCCTCCGGAGTAGCTGGGACTACAGGAACCTCCCACATTTTTTGGGCTATTTTTGATATTTTTAGTAGAGACAGGATTTCACCATATTAGCCAGGCTGGTCTCAAACTCCTGACCTTGTGATCTGCCTGCTTCGGCCTCCCAAAGTGCTGGGATTACAAGCGTGAGCCATTGCGCCCAACTTTGCTAACTTCTTAGAACCTAAGTTCTCAAATTTGTAACAAAAAACTAATACTGCTTAATATTTGTGAAGAGGCGCTAGGACCATGGAACACATAGATTTTTAATATTATATTTTAAGACCTATCCTAACGAACTAAGCCAGTAAGCAGTTTGGGAATAAACTTTAAGTACTGATGAGAAGATAGGTCATAGGATAATGTTTATGACTTCTATTCACTCAACAAATATTTATTAAAAATGTTATGGGCCAGCCATTCTTCTAGATCCTGAAGATACAGCTGTAAACAAAGAAAACAAAATCCCCCTCTTGGGGAACTCACATTCTTAAATGATAAGTTATTTGTATGTGTATTTTGTCATGAGCTCTTGAGTGCAGATTGTAGTTGTTGTTAACTGGCACTGCTACTTTTTAAAAATACGTATAGGCTACCTTTTCGAATGTAATTCTAAGGCTCCCATATCGCCTAATTTTTTAGCGGTATAATAACTGTAATTGGTATCAATACTAATTCAGAATTACATTAGCAGCACTGATTTTACAGTCCCTAAATGGATATAATCAACAAAGGAAAAGTGTTTACTAAACTTTAGTTAGTCTGAAGACATAGATGATACGTTACCATTTATATAATGACAGACTTTACTTACAGACAATTAGAAAGAAATGTCACTCTCTTTATTCAAATGCTACAATAGTGCAATTAAAACAAGACATTTACCTTTGAATGTGTCTTCCCTATCACTGCTAATTCACTGTGTCATTAGCTCCAGTACTGTGGATAGGTTCTCACTACCCCATTCAATTTAATTAGTGTACCAGATAATATAGAAGAGCACACTTACACTGCAGCTAATAGTAGATAATGACTCTTAGAATGAGAGCAATTGCCTCACTCTGTGATGGCTATGCAGAAAAATATATATATACACATACATACACACACACACACACAATTGACTTCATACAAAGATATAGAGAAGCAGTTCTCTCATAAGAAAAGATCATGTCTCCTTAGAAATTAAAGATAATCCCAAATTGGAATAAGTCATTGACACATACATAATGCAAATATGTCAAAAGGAGCATTATTTATTTTTTGGTTTTTGTTCAACCACGGTAAGCAGACATAGCATGGCATTAGCTGGCCTGGTGATCATTTCATATTTTTTGACAAAAGTGAAAATCAAAATACTTAAGGAATACATTATAACATTGTCTTGTAATGTAGGCTGTCGATTTACTCTCAGATATGAAACTGAATCAATATTGAAATCACATCCTTAACAAAAAAAAAGGAGGATGTGTTTCTCACAGTGACGGTGTTAGGTCCACACATTTAGGATTTAAGCTAACTCTTCTGTTGAATTCACTAACTCCTTAAATCAGTCTGTAATCTGCATTTACAGGCAGTTATAAAAAATTGCCAGTATCTACTGAAAACAGAGAACTTTCACATTCAGTAAACCTCAACTAAATACCAGCTATGTCCAAGGCCACACCAACCTCAACCCACCTGGTCCATGCTCTACTCTAGTACCAGCAATGTGTCAGACATAATGTTCGATCCCAGCACTAAGACTCCACCGAGACCTCAAGTTAGTGACAGACGGATAAGGGGTATCGTGAAAAAGTGGGAAATAGTTTGTATATCCAAAAATTAGGCCTTGAAATCAACACAGGGTCTCATATTTGAACATTGCTTTTAGCACTATGTTAATACTAAATCATCAGATCAGAAATATGTCAAATCCTCTTAAAATGTCAGAAAGGATTCCAGGCTAGAAATGCATGACTGATTTAAGTTATTGTGAGAGAATCAAAATCATAAATTAATGCCTCAGATCAGATTAGCATTAAATTAATGGTGATATTAAATTAATGGCAAGCATTTCAGGAAGAGATTGATTTTGAAAGTGCCACAATCCACCATTGCCATCCTACAGCAGACTTTTAGGCAGCTTAATTTTATTTGAATTAAGGTATTAACATATGTTAAGCCAGGAGGCCTAGGACAGAGGAAAGAAATAGGATAAGAGAAGGTGAAGGGTGAGAAATAAATGGTTGATTCCACACACCTTAAGAGATTAGGAGCTCCCAGAGTTTGGGTTTCCATCTGTAAGCTCACAATGCAACATAGATGTTTATTTGAGGGGGGAGGTTGGGAGGAGGGAACAAAGATAACTATTGGGTATTGGGTTTAATACCTGAATGATGCAACAATCTGTGCAAGAAATCCCCATGACATGTATTTACCTATGTAACAAACCTTCCCATGTACCCTCAAATCTAAAATAAAAGTTAAAAAATAAAAAGAACTCAAAAGAAATAGATTGGTGCTGGCAAGAACTGATTTACTTTAACTTCTATTTTAAGATCAGTAGTACATATACAGGTTGGTCACATAGGTAAACTTGTGTCACAGGGATTTGCTGTACCAATTATTTGATCACCCAGGTATTAAGCCTAGTATCCATTAGTGATTTTTTTCTGATCCTGTCCCTCCTCCTACCCTCCATCCTCTACCCTCTGACAGGTCCCAGGGTGTGTTGTTCCCTTCTCTGTGTTCACGTGTTCTCATCATTTAGCCCCCACTTGTAAGTGAGAACATGCGATATTTGGTTTTCTGAAGAACCAATTTTTATTTCCAGCAAACAGTTCAGTAAAGAGAGAACTTTCACATTCAAGAAATCTTTACTGAGAACCAGCCTATTGAATCAGAAGTGGAGCCAATTTCCATTTGACCACTTACCTGAGGAGTCATGTGCAGAAAGCTGATCTGACTGAGAGGGACAACACTTCCAGTTTTTTCCAATGCTGTTTAGGCCACCACATAGCTTGGAACTCTGGCCAGTTGACTAACTAATCTGTACATTGTCCAGCTCTACCTATGGGATGGAAAAATGAATTTACCAGGCAGTCATAAATATCTGATTTGTATGATAGCTACCTTTCTTATTTTAAATTAATAACTTGATATTCTGGCTTTTAGATCAGTCATGTTTCTCAGCATGAAGTTGCAATATCCTCACATCTATCCACTCTGGTAAGACAAAGTTCCAGATCCTGCAAAGCCAGTAGTATAAAATCCAGCCTGGGATAAATTTACCAATAAAATGCAACCTGGTGAGGACCTGCTTTGAATATCATGACCCCTAACACTCTGGCCATAGCTAATTGGACCTAGGATTGGCACTCCAATCTTACTGAGCTACAAGAAGTGGGTAATAAAATAACGAGCCAGTTAGATTTTTCTTAGAGAATTTCAACACAACTTCAAAAACAGTCAATGGCTACCAAGATAGATGAAAGAGGAGAAATACAGGAAGAACAGAATAGACAGAAGCCAGGAGGCAATAGAGACCAACTGGCAGCAGAAGTCGTCAGTGAATGGAATCCATAAGGTAGAGACGGGAGTTGAGAGAGACTGTTTAGTAGTGACTGTCAGACAGAAGTAGCAGAGACACCATAGCATCGGCAAGGATGATTATAGTTGCTGGAGACTGTACGATATCCCGGTTCTCCTTTGGAACTGTCTTCCCTTGTAGAAACAATTCATAGCCTCCTTTACTTCTGTTTTCATGCTTCCCAAAGACCACCACTAAATGAGATCACTGAAAATGTTTTCTTCCTTGTAATGTGGAAGAGCCTAACAAAGTTTTAGAAATATTGAAATATAGACCTTCCCATTAGAGCAACATTTTGATTTCCACAGGCTGCTTTTTAATACTCTATAAAATGGTTTCATATATTTGTGTGTTAAAGTCTTATCAAGAACGCTTTTTGGAATAAAAATTTCTTTAATTTTTTTGAACCAAGCCAATAAGCATATTTTTATGAGTGTATGACACACAAATCAGAAAGTTCAGAGCTGAATATCCCTCATAAATAGAAAATTATTGCTTGTCATATATTCTGAAAACAAAGCAAAATAATCCAACTGATTCATTTTCTAATCCATGAAATAGATGATACATGATGTATTTTGTCACTGTTGATTTACTACAGTTTATATTTTTCCCTGAGTTTCAATGATTTGATTCAAGTAAAATCATTAAGCTTAATTTATTTCTGTCATAAAACTGTTTTATTATCATTTCTGTCACCAACTGAATCCCTTATCTCCAGATGAAAAATTCATTGTTCCTGAAATATTAAATAAAAATCTAATCTTTATTTAGTCTTGCACTGACCACTCATCTCAACCCAAAGTGTAGGAAAAAAGTCTTCAATTTGGATAAAATTAATATATAGGAAAAAAAAGTTTAACCATTAGTTGTGGCGACAGGACAAATATACACTTAAGAAATTGATTCTAGACATTCTAGTAATACTAGATAATAGCATGGACCATATATAAAAGTATTTTTCAAATCGGTGAAACTGTGACAATGCTGGTTTTATGTTAAAATAAAAAATTGGAGTACAGAAGAGACTTCTGTGGACTAGATTTTGACTGGGAAGAGTTCTTGATGACCATGAGCATTGGGTTGGGCTGTGCCTGCCTGATAAGATTAGAATAGTAGAGCACAGAGCAGAACATCTCAAGCTATGGGTCATGGAGTCAGGAAAAGTTTTATCCAGGTGCAGGGTCAGAATGGAGGGGGCAGGGAAACAAAGCAAGCTAAATAGTGGGGCTCATAGGTAAGTGATCAAGAACACAGGCTCAGTTGATTTAACCTATAAGCATTCTGGACCTTAAGCAGAAAATTGTCCTAAAAAAAGTTATTTTAGGAAGATACTGCCAGCAGCAGGACCTGCTAGGAGACCACTGTAATGATCTTAATGTAATATAACTAGCTACCAGAGTAGAGACAATTAGAACATTGCAAAGGACAAATTTAAAAAATATAATAAGTGATTGGGAATTAATAGACTAGGAAATAGATATGAAAATAATTAGAAATAAAGATTAATCAACCTCTTAAGCTTATTATATCAGAGTTTGAAAAATTAGGTGGGCAGTGAAGGAAAAGATGTGTTTGGGTAGGGAAATTGTAATTTTGAAATCATCAGGGAACCATCCTGATGGAACTAGACATGCGAAAGGAGAAGAGTGTGTCCTGGCCTCCCTAGTGGTGACAATCACATGAATTCAAAGCATTGCTGACATACTCACTCACCGGCTGCATAAAAGTACCTGTGTCATTTGGTAATTTAGTAAGGCACAGACTCACAGTCATGCAACCAATCAATCACTATAGTAGCATATAGCACAGATCTAGAGAGTGGGAGAAAATGTTTGAGCCAAAGTTATGCCATAGCATGATAATGCAACATAGTAATTTAAAAATAGTGAACACAGATATCACCATACATGAGGGGCAAATAACAATACTGTTTTTCTAGAGAAACTAGAATGTTCTACTCAAAGCAAGGTCCTCTGAACAATTCTGATTGGCATTTACCACTGTTTTGGGCAGTTAATCCCTCTGAGCTACACCTCTATGCATCCTGATCTCCTCACAGTCTCCCATCTTCTCTGAAGTTTGCTTGGCTTTATGCCCTGATATTCCCTAGGCTTTGAAATAGGGACTACTATACTCATCTCTGTGTTTCTTCTTGTCTTCTGGATACAATACTATTTTAAAAGCAATGGAGTTTAAAGAACCCCAGGCTAATAATTTTGTGGTTCAGCACTACATCTGAGATATGTTGTCCATACTGTTTCAACCTTATGTGCAGATTTAAGTAAGAATACTCTTGTCTTTCATCTTAGATTTCAGCCACTCAAGCCAGGTCACTAGTCCTGGGGTTTTGTCTTCTCCTTGCCTGTTGAAATTCTTTAGAGCTATAAGTTCTGCCTTAATCACAATTCCTTATATCTTTGTCCCCAGTTATCTGTGTGGCATTTATGGTAACTTGTGCTGATGACTCCCAGATGTATATTCGGAACATATGTATGGAATAGTTTCCTTTTTAAAAGTTCTATTCAAACAGCATTGTCCTCACTGTCAACTTTGTCATCTGAATTAAACTTTATTTAATTTAGTATAAAAACTCCTTCAGTTATAAAATAGTATGAACTTTTTTGATATGAAAGCTCTAGTCATATCACAAAAGGACGATATAAATTAACAACCATATTTCAGAAGAACTGAAAGTATAAACATGAGCCCTTAAATAACTAAATAACTGGGTTTTTTAAAATAATTCACTGTATCAAATCCTAAAGAGTTAAGTTTGACTAATCCCAAGAAATCTTCTTCTGATTAAGTAAATCAAATAACTATTTTCACCATGAAAAAGATTATCCTACAAAATCTGTGAGGTTTGGTGCTTTAGATATTAGAATTATTCTGCTTGGGGAAATAATCTTTTTCTATCAGTAAAAACTATACTCAACAAAGAAAACCTACCCTTGTGATGTAGCTTGGATGTTTGTCCCTGCCCAAATGAATTGTAATACTCAAAGCTGGAGGTGGGGCCAGTGTTTGGGTCCATGGCAGCAGATCCCTTATGGCTTGGTGCTGTATTTGCAATAGTGAGTGAGTTCTCTTGAGATATGGTGATTTAAAAGTGTGTAGCATCTCTTCTCTCTCTCTCTCTTGCTGTTGCTCTGACCATGCGAAGTGTCCCCCACCCATTCACCTTCCACCATAACTGTAAGCTTCCTGAGGCCTCCCCAGAAGCCAAGCTGATGCCAGCACCATGCTTCCTGTAAAGCCTGTAGAACTGTAAGCCAATTAAACCTCTTTCCTTGATAAATTACCCCATCCCAGGTATTTCTTTATAGCAATGCAAGAATGGCCTAACACACCATCAAAAGTTAATAAATCTGCCTCAATGTTTTGTTTCAACTCCTCTATCAAAGCCAGAGTTGAGATATCATCTATGTGTGTGGGTAATCTATGCTCCAATAAGTGCCGAGTCACAATATAGAATATTGTCACAATAGTCACAATATGAGAAAGTTTGATCTCTAGCTTTAACTGAGGTTGTTAATTTATTTATTGGTTTGGCTTTTTTTAGAGGGTGGTCTTAATATTGCCCACATGGTCTGGCTTCTCCTTGCTTTGCCAAGGAGCCTGTCTCCTGCTCAGCAAAGTTGCCTGCTTTTCTGTAGACCTTTCCATCTGATAGTCTTCATTAGAAGAACCAAGGAAATCTCTGAGTCCTTCCCCATCTGGGCTCATCTAGCTGATCAGGACATTTTTCTTCTTAAGCATCACTGTAGCCATACTCTTAGAGCCCATGCTGAAATGCAAGGATGATCAGTTTTTGTATTAAGGCATTAAACCAGCATCACAGAGCAAATAAGAAGAAGCAGCTCTATTCCTATCCCATTTTCTCACAGCAACTCAAAGAGGACCCAGCCAGTTAGGATTTAAGACTTGGGATAATTCCCCTTGTGTATGCTTCTTCCCTCACTGACTCCCTCATCTCCCTAACTCTTCCACATCATCTTCTCTCAGCCTATTCTATGAGCACTCTGTCTCCTGACAAGCATTCCATCTCCTTCCTCCAGAAAATCCCACCCTGCTTTATTTGAGTGATATCAGCACTCTGTTCCTAATTGTTTCTTCAAATTCTGATGGCTTTACCCTCAACTAGAAGTTCATGTAGATGTTATTCTGTTTGAAGCTTCTGCTGGCTCCAAAGAAGATGGATGAGCTCTGATACTGTAAATGTGTAAAAGGAAACGGTATGTAGTCTGATTTTGTTTGATGCCCACTAATAAAATAGAAACTGAATACAAAAACAGACAATGGCCAGACCACATATAAAATAGAACACTGACCTGCAATCTGCAAAAAAATCAGCTTAGGAAACTAATCTATTATCTCTAGTAACCAGCCAGGAAGTTAGCAGCTATAAGTCAGACTTGTAGAAAATCAAACCACTCTCTCACGTGAAGACAATATGCTCCTCATATCTAGATAATTTT